AGGTCCTAGGTCCCAGTCTCTAAACGATAAGCCCTAAACCGTCATCCACACACAGCCGCCTGGCGGATGCGGTCAGCTTCCGGGAAGTTGTTCGCACGGCGAGCCTGCATGGGACGAGCTTAGGCCGGCTTAGAGTGAACCCCAGAAAGTCCCAAAGGGTCCAAAGTACCCATGCAGGAGAATGTGGGGTTTCTATAGAAGGATATTACTCTTATGATTTGGGGAACTACTCCTCATAACAGTACCTAGGACCCTTTGGAAGTTGGAACATGGATTTAGGATGATTCTTGCTGTGATTCCCTATACTTTACTTTAAGGGCAGGAGGACAATGAACCCTAAACCCTAAACTACAACTTGCTGGCTTCCACTATTCAACCCAGAGACTCCTATAGCCCTTACTTGAAGGATCATGGGACTTAGTAATTACGGTTATGATTAAGGTAACCATACTTATAAGTATTTATAACCCCAATTAAGGTACTTCTAAGTTCCCTGATCCTCCAAGTAATTAAGGACTATTCCCTAAATCATATTAGGGATCCTACTAGAACTTAAGGAATAGTCTTTAATTAAGGGATATTGGAGTCTTGGGGAAGGTGTGTGGGTCTATCGGGGCTCCTTTGTGCAACAGCTCCGCTATCGTTCCGAACTCCTTCTCTGCAGGAAGGTGCCCTGCCTGACCCTCCCCCGTGCACTTACATGGAGGAAGCTTCTTCTACACCCGGCAAAAAGACCGAGCATAACAACGTCTAGACCCCAAAGCAATCTAGGGCTCCCGGGTGGAGAGACTTGCACCTGGGCTCCACCTCCCCTGGGCCCTCTAACTCGGCTCTTGTTTTGGGTCATGGGTTACACCCCTCGCTGTCGAAAGGAACTCAAAATGCTTCAAGTCAGGGCCCCACCAACCCCAAGAAAAACCTCCTCTTAACAAACAGTTGACTCCAAGTCTTCAGGCCCCCCTACTTCGAGGTTCAGTGTTGGGAAGCTCTTTCGACTCCAATGCGCTGAATTCCTCCCTCCCGGGCAACCTCGTTCCGCTCATCGATGTACTTCTCAATCTCCTCGAAGGTTTGTCAGCCAAGTTGGTGCAACAAACTACTCCATTCTGGAATTGTAACCCTAAACCCTAAACCCCTAAACCATAAACCCTAAACCCTAAATTGTGCTGAAAGACCGTTCCCATGTCTCTTTTCGGGGCCCTACTTCCATGAGGATAATGGACCACCTTGGCATCAACTTTCCGGAGTCCTGTCACCCACAAACTGGCACCCAAGATTCAACCCCCCCCCTCATTCCTAAACCCTAAACCCGATTCTAAAAATCCCGGACCCCAGAATGCTTGACCTTTGGAACAACCGGTGTACAGCGAACAGCGACATACTCTCCGATGGACTGGTTCCTTCTTGTCGAGGTACTATAGGGGCCTAAATAATTAGAATAGGGTTTTGGGTGCCTATTCTAATTGTTAAGGCCCCTATAGTATCTTTCCGACCTTGCCTTTGCATGGGAAGTCCTGCCAGTTGCCTTGTTGTGCTCTCGTCTTGAACTGTAACCAAAAAGCAGCGCTGCTGTCTAGAATACGCTGAAACGAACCCTGGCCCCTAAACCGTAACTTCAAATCCAAACTCTAAACCCTTAACAACCTCAAACCCTGAATCCCCGAAGGCTGCACTGCTTACAGACACAGGTTCTTCTACGGATCTTTAACAGGTTCCTGTGCCCCGAACCGAGAGGACTGAATGCCCTGAACCACATCAACCTCCAAACCCAAATCCCTGAACCGTAGACTCTAAGCAAACCCTACAACCCTAGGCCCAAGACCATAACCCTCAACACCAGATCCCTAAACACCCTAACGACAAAACCCCAGATCCCCAAACCCTAGGCCCAAGACCCTAACCCTAACCCAGATCCCTACACCCCCAACCCCCAAACCCCTAAACCCTTATAGATGCCTTATAGAACCCTTTAAGGGGCCTTTAGCCCTATCGAAACCCCAAGCCCCCAAGTTCTAGGGGCCCGGCATGAACTGGAGGAGCATTGGGCCCGGGCCTCGAGTGCCGTTTCGGTTTTTTGGGGTTTAAAGGGAACTCCAGAAAGTTGGAATATGGTTTCAGGGTAGGATACCTTATAATATACCTTAAAGGGGTTACGATAATGATATTCCAACTTTCTGGCTTCTACTCTAGGGGCTTCGGGATTAGGGTTCAGGGGCTTCAGGGCTCGCAGGGTCATATGGCATGACCCCATACTTGGAGGATCAGGGGACTTAGTAAGTTAGGTTATAAGTACCTTAATTGGGGCTATAAGTTACTATAAGTATGATTACCTGAACTATGATAGTAACTATAACCCTAGTTACTAAGTCCCATGATCCTTCAAGTATGGTTCAGGGGCTTCAGGGCTTGAAGGGTCATATGGCATGACCCCATAGAAGTAGGGTAGGACGCATACCCAACAGTTTTAGGGTCATTGGATATGTTTATTACCTTGCTAAGGGTTTGGGGGTTTAAGGTTGCAGGGTTTAGGGCTTTAGTAAATGCTGTAAGGCTTTGGGAGTTTCAGGATAAGCTCGCGGAAATTTCATTGCTGATTTTCCAGGTCTTATGGTGTCTCATAAGACTGTGAGTTCCAATGCATCGACATCATTTTGGCCGTAGAGCTTCGCAGCAACTAGCACGGGCACTCGCTTGCCAGAGTATACTTAAAGGATCATGTCCGTTTCGTAGCGATAGGGGTCATAAGTCAGGGAACTGTTGCTATGATTATTTATGACCGCAACGTCGCATTCTCAACCCCGCCGGTACATGGGAGGCGGCATATCGGGTAGTTATTTAGCCAGTAGTAGGGGTGAAGCATTTCTGATGAAACCTGCTCTCAGCACGGAGTGTATAAGGTTCACTCAACATGCTAGGCGGTCCAGGGTGACGAAAGTGACTACAACCATACAACATACTTCTTGCAGAAGACTGATTTTTTACCCTAAACCCTAGATCCTAAACCCTATAGATCCTAAACCCTAAACCCTAAACCCTAGATCCTAAACCCTAAACTTTAAACCCTAAACCCTAGATCCTAGACCCTAAACCCTGAACCCTAGATCCTAAACCCTTAACCCTAAACCCTGGTCTTGATCCTGAGCAGACCAGGGCGGGCTCCAACATCCAGACCCCGTAGCCCCCAAATCGCGCGGGGCTTTCGGAAGATCCACTGAAGGATTGGGGTTTAGGGTTTAGGTTTATAGGGTTTAGGGGTTTAGGGTTTAGGGGTATAGGGTTTAGGGTTTAGGGTTTGTAGGATTCTTGACACAAGGCTATGATTCATGATGCACCGTTTGTACAACTCGCTGTCACTTTTGAGTTGCCGGGGGTTTTTGAACCCATGCCCTAAGCCCGCGTGCAAATAGCAAATAGAGATACTCTGGTTTCTTTGCGAACCAGATGAACAACCTGCTGATAGGAATTCCTGACAAGAGCTTGGGGGAAATTAGATCAGAACAAGAACCCGAAACCCTAAAGCCTAAACCCTTTACCCTAAGGAGCCAACTCACCGCGGTCGATCGCGCCGTCCGAAGTCTTGACCGGCTCCCTGCATCGCACCACGGTTCGGGGCTGCTGGTGGTTATGAGTTACGTTGTTTGGGGTTCTGGGCATACGGTACAAAAAATGGTTGTGGAGATACATGCATCTATACATGATTTCATTGGGGTCCTGTAGGAGTTTTGGTTGCTCGGCCTGTTAGGGTTTCTATGCTGTTGTTCTGGCAATTCCCGCTCGGCTCACAAGTGCATTAGTTGGGTCTTTGGCGCTGCCACCACGCCGAAAGGCCAAGCGGCATGCCCGTGATCCCCACGTCCGACGACAGTCAAGCCTCCTCTCTTGGAGGTTCATGGGTAGTTCTAGGTAGGGTAAGTAGTATACCTATAATTATAACCCTTAGGGGACTTACAACCCCACTTATAACTACCCATGAACCTCCAAGCTTTGTGCGTGTGGCACAACAGCATCGCTCCGGTCTTGTCGGTCCTGAGCCAAGAGCACCCTCGGGCCTGCCGATGCCCGAGAGCCGGCTTGCGGAAGACCACGATCTGCGTCAGGAACCCAGAGACCCCAATATCCCTTAATTAAGGATTACACCTTAAATTGTAATAGGATCCGGATCCCCAATATGATTTAAAGGTATATTCCTTAATCATAAGAGTTTTCCCTGCCTTCTCCAACAGAACCAAATGGGAAGGAGGGACTCCTCACTAAGGCCAGGTTCAACCCAGACAGAGCGGCTCCAAAAGAGAGAGGTCTCCGGCTCCACACGCGCGCGCCACCTCCAAACAGCTCCCAATAGCTCTCCAGCAGCTCTCGAGTGTGTGCCTTGTGTGTGGTGTGTGTGGGCGTGTTGTCCTCCCCCTTCTGCGAAGGGGCCCTAAATCCTAAGCCCTACACCCTAAACCTCACACCCTATAAACCCAAAGCCCTAAACCGCGGGATGCTCGTGGAGCGAGACATGGAGAGTCGAGACAAGTCGCCACGGGACAGAGCGCTGCAAGCAATTTCCTCAACGTCTGGGGTTTAGGGTTTCGAAGCTTAGGGCTTCGATTGTTTACGATCAAAGTTCCAACCCTAAACCCTAAACCCTAAGCCCCTACACCCTAAACCCTAAATCAAAGTTCACATCCGAGGGATGCTAGGGTTTGCAAGTGCACAGGCCACTTGGTTCTTCCTGCTCATGTCTGGCATGCAGAACGCAGCGCAGGCACGTATCACAGCTTTTCGGATCAGAATCACAGAAGGGATCAGCGGAAAATAGCGCCGTTCGACCGCGCCATCCAATCTGCCTGTAACCTGCGATTCGTTGTGTCCGCTCACTGCTTGGGAACAGAAGCTACCACATCAGAGCTGCCATCACTTGCATGGTAGCGGAGCCCGGTCTTTGAGGACCGGGTTCCAGATCCAGGGACCTTGAACAACGCTTGGACCTGTGCTACCGGTCCGAGACTCCAAGGATGGCAGCTGCATCTGTGTCACGTGGACGTGACGGGATACCAGCATGGGACGGGACCCCGTCCAGTTTTGAGGAGTATTCTGAGCAGTGTTTGATCTATGAGCAGAGCACCCCGACATACAAGCGCTACTTGGTGGGACCCAAGCTGATTGGGGAGCTGTCTGGCGCAGCCAAGCGGCTGATAGCAGGCCAACCGGCCACCTGGCTATCCCATGATGAGGGAGTGAACACCCTGCTGCGTCACCTCAGGGCTTGCCTGGGACGTCCTCAGATTCCAGAACTGACAGAACATTTGAATCGCTACTTCCGCCAAGGACGGCGCAAACCACAGGAGTCGATGAATGAGTACATCTCCAGGAAGTGCGAAGTGTATCTGAGGGCATGCCAGGCCATGCAGCGTGTGGCACCCTATCATAAGGACTCCGCCAAGGCCACCAACCAGGCCACGACGACTCCGCGGACCTGGTCTCAAGGTGGCTACGGGGGATATGCTGGGGCAGGCTGGTCGTGGGGCGGCTACCCGGGCGGCTACGGCTATCAGGACTGGCAGGATCACCAGGCCTGGAACACAACGAGCCGCCGGAACAGCACGGACACCAATGCCTCCGATTGGGGAAGTGAGGCAGAGACTCCCGCAGCCACACAGGCAGCGGCACCCGTGCCATCAGCGGCCACCACCAACACCGATGATGATGCCAGCGAACGCAGTGATCACAGCTGGCAGCCACGAGAGTGGTGGCACTGGCAATGGGCACCATCGTGGGGAAACAGCTCGCGCGCAACCACTCAGGCAGCGGCTCTACCTGAGTTGCTGCCCGAATTCATACAAGGGTGGTATCTTCTTCAAGATGCCGGGTTGACCCCGGCAGAACGGAACCTCATCCAGACCGCGGTGCAGAACGACTTCTCGCTGCAGCGAGTGGCGCAGGAACTTCGTTCACAATTTCATGACATTGATCAGCACCGTCGGGACCACCGCCCGACAAGTTATCTCGGCACCGTGGACGAGGAGGATGAGCTTGAGGAGGAGGGCGCAGCGGACGATGGCTTCGCGGCTGAGGACCTGGACCCCGAGGACCTGGCTATGTGGACGGAGGCCGCGCAGGACATTGAGCAAGCCTGCGCAATCATCCAAAATGCAAGGCGTACGCTCAAGGAAGCAAGGGCCAAGCAATCGGCAGTACGCCTGGCCAGGAAATACTACAAGCCGGGAACCTACCAGAAGCCACGTGACGACTCACAGATGATCTGTCTGAAGTGTGGAGTCAAAGGGCACCGAGCAGCGAACTGCACAGACAGTTCGAAGAGTGCCTCCTCAGGTGCGACCCAATCCGCACCGTTCGTATGCTTCTCCGATCAGGCACTCGCCACCGGCGAGACCGAGGAGCAGGCCCTGCTGAGCACACGTGAAGCAGTGAAGAGTGGATACGCGGTGATTGATGGCGGTGCCACAAGGACCTTAGGGAGTGTAGCCGCGATCCAGAACGTGATGGATATCAATGCCCAGAAGTATGGGGAATCAAGGGTGCTATCGGTGGACCTGGCTAACCAGCCAGTCTTCGGCTTTGGCAACTCAACGGAAAACCGTTGTGCAAGCACGGTGGAGCTGGGCATCAGCGCCGGCGATCGGGCCGGCCAGCTCACCATCCACGCCCTTGATCGTGGGGACAGCCCAATCCTGTTATCAGTGGCGTCATTGCGCTCTTTGGGCGCAATCATAGACTTCTCGGAGGACCTGATTTGCTTCCGACATGTGGACCCAGGTCGTATCCTCTCCGTGGAGCGATCCACGACAGGCCACCAGCTGCTTCCCCTGACGGAGAACCTCTACAAGAATGCCAAGCCGACAAATCGTCCCGTGCCAAGTTTGGCAGAGTATGTACAGATCTCGAAAAACGAGTAGGGACAACGCGCTTCTGACTGTTCGCCTGGCGGGAAAGAAGCGACAATGAGTTTTTCAGGCAGTGGGGGCGTTGCAAAGCAATGCCAACTGAATCCGAGAAGCATTTCCAGTCATGATGATTGTGTGATGAGTGAGGGTGATAATGATGAGGGTTGTAAATTAGATGACATGAGGAACCGTGGACTTGAGAGCCGCCGTCTCTCAAACGAGGGCCCATCGAACAAGTCAGCAGGAGCTCGGAGGCGTGTCTCGTTTCTCAGCTCACATCATGGCGATCCAGAAGATGAAGAAGGCCGAGCTGCAGAGCAAGCTCCGGGAGTTGGGCGAGGAACCGCCCATCAAGTGGACCAACAAAGAGCTGGCCCAACGGATCCTGGAGCTCGAGCCGTCTTTGGGGGAGAAGAAGGGCAAGCAGCGCACCGATCTCCAGGCGAAGATCAAGGATCTGGGAGTGGCAGCGCGCAAGAAGAGCACGCTGACCACGTTCTGCAAAGAGATCGGGGTGGACCTCAGTGTGAACCACAACATGTGGTCCATGGAACAGGCAGCCCTTCGCCGCCTGTACGACATCAGCACGCCTGCAGCCGACGATGTTGTGGGTTTCGGCCAGCACAGCGCCCTGCTGTACCGCGACATCCTGGTGCTCCACCCGACTTACAAGGACTGGGTGATGAAGACAGCGGCGAGCACAACCTCGACGTCGGACTATCGACTCCTTCGCCTCGCGACCTGGTTGGAGCAACAGACCAACGAGGAGATCGAGCTGTACAAAAGCCAGGAGCAGCCCAAGAAGGCAGTTCCCAAGGCCAAGGGATACGCTGGACCGACGGCCAGCTCATCAACAGAGGTGCCGACGGAGCTCCTCCAGAGTATGATGCAATCCCTGCAGAGCCTACAGCAGGAGGTGATGGAGATGCGCGCAGAGCGGCCACGCAAGGAGGTGCGCGGCAAGAATGCGGAGACCAAGCCGATCGAGCCGGAAGGCGGAGCGAAGCCAACGTCGGGTTGAGGACGGGGCCAGCGGTCTCGGCCTGTGATGATGTATTAGCCTCAGAGCTTGGGCCGGGGACCGAGGAGACAGGTCAGTACCTCAGTAAGGAATCTGCCTCCCACTTAGAAAACAAGGCCTGGACCCTAGTTCCTCAGATCTTTCAGGACCTGGTTTCTCAGTCTCGGCCCATGCTCCTAGAAGTGGCCGGCCCCACTGAGGGCCAGTTAGCACGTACAGTACAAGACGAGATGGGACAGGCCAATGCGGCCATCCAGTGCGGAGACTGGAATGGTCATGATCTCAGCACGGACGCTGGAGTCCGCAGTCTTTTGGAAAAGATTGCCACGCTACAGCCGCTACATGTCTGGTTGAACCCTCCTAGTGCAGCCTTCAGTCCTTACCAGAACGCGAACCAGAGAACGGAGGCCCAAACCGAGGAGTTACAACAAAAGAAGCAAACTTGCATGCGTGCGTATGTTGGAAGCCAAATCGTCATGGACGCGTGTATTCAAAGAGGCATACATGTGACATGGTGTATGTATGAGCACTCCAATGCGTGGCGACTGCCCCTTTTGCAGAAGCTTAGCAACCGCCAAGGTGTTCATAGCTGCATCACTAAGGGTTGTCGCATGAACCTCAGAGGGCCAGACGGCCACCAACTGTCCAGGAAGGGATGGAAGCTCCTTACAACGCACCAGCGGCTGGCCGAGCTGCTACACGCGCCCTGTGCGTGCCACAAGGGCTACCGACATGCGGCCGTGAACACGGCCATCGGGGCTGGGGTTTTTACTTCGGAGTACTGTAAGAGGGTCGTTCAGGCTCTAGTGCAGGAGCACAACTACGTGAGTTTGTTGAGTGAGCTGCAAGGGAAGCCGTCGCTGCCGGAAGAGTTTGGCGGGGGTTTGTTCTGCGTGTGTGATAGGAACGACAGAAACTGTCGAACTACGCCATGTCACATGTGTATGTGCCAGGCAACCTCAGAGGGACCCAGCGCAGAACTACAGGCCCAGGTTCCCAGAAAGCAGCCTCCAGAGATTCAAACAGGCCCCGAGAAGTGTAAAGAACGCATGGAACCCAAAACCAACGAGGACCCCGACGACGACACAGGAGACGACGACACCGCGTTGTATTGTCAAGCCGAACTGGAGCAAGCAGAAGCCTGTGCGGAACGGCTGCTTGAAGCGAGAGACTTTAGCTACAAGGGTTGCGAGGAGTTAGTGCGGCACCTCCCACAGCACAACACAGCCCAGAGGCCGATGGTAAAGGCTCCCGAGGACCCCAAGAAGCTCCGTGGCTACTTTACTTTCGGACTGTACTCGTACGGTAGTTTTTCTGGTGTCACCCGCAACACGTACCGTATGGCGAAGTGTCACAAGTACTTTAGTCGTTTTCTCCAACAACAACTGCCCAGGGAACAAAAGTTCACGTCGTATGTGATAAGCAGGAACATGCAGATGCCCTTTCATAAGGACAACCACAATGATGATGCCTACCCAAACTGTGTCCTAGGCCTAGGCAACTACACCGGAGGCCAACTGTGGGTAGAGCATCTAGGAACGGAACCGGTCATCAAACCTGTCAACAAGGTGACGCCAGATGGTCAAGAACGAATTGGCCAGAGCTGGAACACCAAGCACCAGATGGTGCACTTCCCACCCAAGGCCTGGCATGGGGCCGAAGTGTGGCAAGGAGAGCGGTTTGTGGTATCGTGCTATGTGAGCAGGGCACACCGGAGCATGAGCGAGCAGAGTCGTCGTCAGCTTGTTCAGGGAGGGTTCAGGGTGCCCCCTAGGATCCCGAGTAGGCCCCAGATCCTGGCCGCCAGTGAACAGCCCCTGAGCAAACAGGAGCGGGAGAGAGTGAAGAAACAACTGTACTTGCTGCACGCTGCGACTGGTCATGGTAGCAACCGTAGCTTAATCGAGGCCCTCCGAAGGCGCAAGGTGCACCCCGAGGTCCTCGAATTGGCCCAGAGTTTCCAGTGCCCCGTGTGTCAAGAACGTAGGAAGGTCCAGCCACGACACCTTGCTTCCCTGGAACCTCTTCCCCCAAAGTGGCAGTGCATTAGTGCGGACATAGGGCATTTTTACAATTCTGAGCGGAAGGAACATGTCCAGTTTATGATGATCGTGGATGAGGGATCAAGATTTCGAGCTGCTCGAGTGCTCACATCTGGGCTGAAACAACAGCCCTCAGCTGCAGCATGTCTAGAGTACTTACGCGATGGATGGATACCCTACTTTGGAAGTCCACAGACCATACGCCTGGACCCAGCAGGCGCCTTCCGGGGATCCGCGCTAGAAGATTTCTGCGATCGCCACCAGGTGTATCTGGATGTGATTCCAGGCGAGGCCCATTGGAAGTTGAGTGCAGTGGAGCAAGCAATTCAGGGCGTTAAAACTTTGATGGGCAAACTGGTGGCAGAAGATCCAGAGCTTGAGACGCGAGAGGCGCTAGCAACGGCAGTTCGAACATTCAATCAACGGGAAATCATTCGAGGGTTTTCCCCAGTGCAACACGCTCTGGGTCAGAGCCCCGATGCTTCAGGACGATTAGACTTCTCAGGCAAGGCAGTGCCGCCAGAGCTGTTGATCGAGAACCCCAACGGCGAGTTCAGTCGCAACATAGAGCGTCAGCGAGTGGCTGAACAAGCCTTAGCAGACTGGCAGGCGCAGCAGCGACTGTCAAGGGCTCAGAGTTCTCGAGGACGCCGGGTGCTGAACTTCACTCCAGGGGAGCTCGTGTTCTTTTGGAGATCACAGGTGAGCGGGCAGTCCCGCAAGCAACCGGGGGACAAGAAGGGACAGTTCCTCGGGCCCGCCAGGATCCTGGCGACAGAGACAAAGCGGAACGAGGACGGCACCTTGCAACCCAGTTCGTCAGTGTGGCTGGTCAGAGGGCGCAGCTTGATTAAGTGTGCGGCAGAACAAATCCGCCGCGCGTCCAGCCGAGAGGAGCTCATTGAGTCGCTGGACCAAGACAATCAAGTGCCCTGGACGTTCACACGAGTCGCTGAGGAGATCGGCGGAAACCGCTATCAAGATTTGACGGAAGCAGTTCCTGAGGAAGAGTGGGTTCGAGCACAAGATGTTGAACAAGTCGAACCCCCAGTGCGACGGAGGCTGGGACACAAGCGGCCCTTGGAGCAGGCCACAAGCCATAGGCCTGTGGCACAGGCTGCGGCAGGATCGCAGCCCTCTTCCTCAGTTCGCGCACGGCCCTATCCTCCCACGAGTTCGGAGAAGGGTCACCAGTGGTGGTCAGAAGTACAGGACGCCATGTGGGGCGATGAGGTGAGCTATTGGTCCGACGAGGCGGCAGCGGTGAGCGTGGAACTGGAACTGCCGACAGGCCCAAAACAGCTACAACAGGCGTGCCGAGACCTGCCCACTTACTTCGTTGGTTGCATGAAGCGGCGAGCCATAGAAGTCAGCGAGAAGCGGATGTCCGATGAGGAGCGCAAGCTCTTTCGGGAGGCAAAAATGATCGAGGTGAAGAACTTCGTGGCGGCAAAGGCGTTCGAGACATTGCCGGAGGCCCTTAAACCACCCAAGGAGGTTGCAGTGGGTATGAGATGGATCTTGACTTGGAAAGTGAAGGAGGACGGAACCTCCAAGCCGAAGGCCAGGGCGGTCCTGCTTGGGTATCAAGACCCGTCGTATGAACACCGTGCCACAACGGCACCGGTCATGACGCGGCAGACGCGTCAACTGGTGTTACAGGTCGCAGCCAACAAAGGCTGGTCCGTCGCCAAGGGCGACGTCTCTGGAGCATTCTTACAAGGCCGGGAGTATCCAGACAAGCTTTACTGCATACCTTGCCCTGAGATTTGCGAAGCACTTCAGATCCCAGCAGACTCGGTCACACGCTTGCGTCGCGCATGCTACGGCTTGGTGGACGCGCCACTGGAGTGGTATAAAACAGTAGATGAGTTTTTGACCGAGCAAGGCTTGGAACGATTGTGGTCAGATGCTTGTTGCTGGGTCTTGAGAGACAATGGCCAGGTGATAGGCCTGATATCAGGCCATGTAGATGATTTTCTGTTTACTGGTTGCGAGAAGAATGAAAAGTGGAAGCGAGTCATTGAGGCCATTCAGAAGCGCTTTAAATGGGGAGACTGGGACCGGGACGAGTTCGTCCAATGTGGAGTGCAAATCAAACGAGTGAGCGATGGCTTTGAATTGACCCAGGTCCGCTACATTGAAACATTGAAGGAGATCCCCATTTGTGCTAGTCGTAAGAAACAGGAAAGTGAAGCAACCACGGAAAGGGAGAAGAGCCAACTTCGAGCTCTCCTCGGAGGGCTATCCTGGCATGCGCAGCAAATTGGGCCACACCTGAGTGCTGAGGTCAGCTTACTCTTGTCTGAGGTGTCTCAGAGTCAGGTCTCCACGATCGGCAAGGCCAATGCGTGTCTCAGACGAGCGCGGGCCCACAAGGCACATGCAATGAAGATTCACGCCTTCACACAAGGCGAAGAGCTTGGCATGTTTGGATGGGTTGATGCTGGGAACCAGAATAGGGTTGATGGTTATAGTACCCAGGGAATCTTCGTAGGCCTGGCACCAGTGACGATGCTTCAAGGTGCACTGTGTCGCGTCACACCAGTGACGTGGCACAGTAATCGCATCGACCGCGCTTGTCGGTCTCCTGGGGCCTCTGAGGCCCAAGCGGCGGTGAACGGAGAGGACGCTCTGTTCTTTGCCCGCTACCAATGGTACGAGATTATGCATGGCTGTGTAGATGCAAGGGCCCCAGCTCAGGCGGTGCGCCAGATTCCTGGCTGTCTCATCACAGACAGTCGAAATGTTTATGATCGCTTGAACACAGCTGTACTTAGCATCAAGGGTGCTGAGAAGCGGACGAACATTGAGCTGATTGCACTTAAAGAGAGTCAGGAGCAGACCGGACTCATCATGCGATGGGTCCACTCCGAGGCCCAACTTGCAAATGCTTTGACAAAGGCATCTACGTGTCGAGAGCTGGAGTTATACTACGGCATGAATCACTCGTGGAAGATCGTCGAAGACCCCCAAATGCAGTCGGCCCGACGGCGAAAGGCTCAGGGCAAGGAACCTCTGTCATCTAATTAGAGTCGGATGATGATGCAATGACTGGAAATGCGACTCCGGGGAAGCAGGTGGGATGCAAGTGCACAGGCCACTTGGTTCTTCCTGCTCATGTCTGGCATGCAGAACGCAGCGCAGGCACGTATCACAGCTTTTCGGATCAGAATCACAGAAGGGATCAGCGGAAAATAGCGCCGTTCGACCGCGCCATCCAATCTGCCTGTAACCTGCGATTCGTTGTGTCCGCTCACTGCTTGGGAACAGAAGCTACCACATCAGAGCTGCCATCACTTGCAGGGTTTAGGGTGTGGGCCGTCGTGGGTTTGGCGCTTTCGGGAGTCAGATCTTTCCGGGGCCTGATGTAGGGGCCTCAATAATTAGAATAGGGTTTGGGGGCCCGTTATACTATAATGATAAGAAGGAAGTCCCCCCAAAATAGCATATAGGTAATGAAGTACGTATATTCAGGTGCCTATATTGGTGCCTTTTGGCCTACTCTGCGTGCAAGTCTCAACCGGGAGGATCATTCAGACAAGCTTCAACCCACTCGAAGAAGCCCATGGGATGATCCACACGGGAATATGAGAGCCCTACTTAAGGATTGAACTAGTTAGCTTACATTCCAGTAGAACACTCATAGAAGAAGGATGCTAAGGCAAGATCATATCCGCATGTTCAGACCTCTAGGCACGGATGCTGCACCTCTTGGTCGCTCGTGCTTTTCCCTTGCGCTTGTCCTTGGAGGATGCATCTCCTGGAGAGGTTTCTTCATTGAGGGTTCGGTAAGGTTCTGTAGGGGTTACCCTTTTCCTAGTGTTCGATTTTTTTATGGAGACCCTAAGAAGGGCAAAAGTGCAGCACTAGGGCACATAGACATGTTCTATAGCGGCTTTATACGAACTTGACGGGTGATGAGTGCTTTGTTCCTTTCAGAAATTTCAGGGTTCAGGCTTCAAGGTGGAGGCTTCAGGCTGTGTGGTGTGGGCGTCGGGTTCAGATTTTTGGCGTGCATGTTCGAAGTTTGGGTTTAGGAGCTTCCGCTGTCGCCTGAATAACTAGGATACGGTTTGGTGGCTGTTGGACTGTACATCTTGCGGAACACCAAAACACGAAGACTAACCACCAACGATTCAGGTGCCTGTACTCATGTACTAGACTTGTGGGGCTTCGGGTTTTGACTTCACATTCCTGGTCCACTGTTCAACGAACCAGCGGCATGCACTTCAGGTTTCCAGGGACGATCCGGCCACGCCGGGCTCCAGCTTGTTGTCGATTCTTCTTATGCTGTACTGAGCCATAACAAAACTGAATGGGGGCCGCTGAAGTGCTATTGAAGTGCTTTTGGGAAAGATCCCTAAGCCTTAAACCAATGGACTGTGAAACCTTAAAGCAATAGAGTGCGGTTTAATGGACTGCGTTTTTTTCGAAAACCTCGATTCCTCGTCATCTTTCTATTCCTTGCTCATCTCTTTCCACATACGTAGATAAAAAGGAATCAGACAATTAAGTTAATAAACAGTATGTATGCATATGTAAACTGAGCTTACATACTTATGCATCAACATGCATGTATTTCGCATGCATGTCTGTACATACATGTACATACTTCGTATGCATGTATGTATGTAAACGTACATATGAATACAATAAAAACTGTTTGTCGGGGGGGGCAACAAGGCTGTCCAAACGTGGAGCTGCGTCGAAGCAGGCCTGGCCTCCAACCCAGAAAGCCTGACTTCATTCACTTGTTCCCGAAGCCATTAGAAACTTCAGGTGCCTTCATCGTCATCGGCAGCCGCTCCGCCGGTGAATGTAGCTCGGGAGCTGTACCTGTTGCAGGCAGGATGGAATGTCTAGCATTAATATCCCACGAGTAGTGCAGTTTGCATTCCGCAAACACAGTAAGGCGTGCGCACACACACACACATAACACATGCACGTCATACATAAGTAAACCTGTATGTATGTACAGGTATGAATGAACGAGTGAATGTATGCATGCATATTGTATGTAATTATGTATGCATGTATGCACGCATGAATGCACACACATATGTAGAGATCAAACAGTCAATCAACCAATCAATTAATCAATCTATCTGTCAGTCTATATGCTTGTCTGTCTGCCTGCCTGCCGGCCTGTCTGTCTCTGTTTGCCTACCTGATCGGTCTACCTGTCTATCTCTATCTGTACCCTTGCCTGTATCTGTATCTATATCTTAGATATCTTTAACTGTATCTCCATGTCTATTGCTATCTCTGTCTACCTATCTCTCGAACTCTGTCTTGCTAACCTATCCATCTATCCATCCATCTTTGGTATATGCAGATATACGGATATCTATGTTCTTGATTCTGTTCTGCGCATGCCTAAACTTACATCACTCTGTTTTCTGTGCTTTCGGCCGCCGAAGCATCCGAAATGCATGAACACCATAAACACCGTACACATGAATATCAGCGGTTCTTTGGTAGGGCCCGGGGGGTTCGGGATCTGTGCTCTGGCAGGTTTTGTTGAGCTGCTCAGCAGGGCTTAGGGCCTAGGGCTCTTGTGTAGCCTTGGGTTTCAGATGTGTGTTCATTGGTTCTGCCGGATGGGCTACGACAGTGTCTCAGCAGATCGCTGGGTCTTTGCCCGAAGTCCAGGACTTCGGACAGGGAGATGAAGTTGTCTCCGATTCTTTTTGCCTCTACTGACATTGGCAAATTGAACGGTGCGATTGTTGGCAGCATTCGCCGTCATCATCTCCTTTCTCCTGCTCCTGCTGCATTGTTGTCGTGCTCAATGTGGCCGTCGTCACAGTGGGTGGGAAGTAGCCAGTGCTATCGTTCGTGATACTTGAGGCTTAGGCGTGGTCACTACCGTCATCGTTGTCCTCGCAGTGATTAGCAGCAGTACTCACTGTCGATTCTAGGAGCAGCAGGCGCACTGGCAAAGAGCTGTAGTGGAACCGAAGCAGGAGGAGCAATAGCACCACCAGTGAGCGAACTTTCAAAAGCAACTGCGCCGGAGTCACACGAGCTGGTTCTCGGTAAAGTTGATCTGCAAGTCGGGCACAGGCTTCTGGTTCTCCCGGCAGAACTGCCGATACTCTTCGTACCTGACAGAAGGACAGACAGAGAAAACGAGAGAGAGAGAGAGAGGTAGAGATGGAGAACAAGATGTATATATATATATATATATATATATATATACACAATTTTTTTGAATTTATTTATGTTTACATTCATCAGACATACATATACACACATATATATGTACATATATATATATATATATACATATGAATACATGTATATACATATATATATATATATATGTATATATATATATATATATACATACATAGATAGACGTGTATGTGTATGTACATATATATATATATATAATTGTATACATATGTATACATATATATATAGAGAGAGAGAGAGAGAGAGAGAGAGAGAGAGAGAGAGAGAGAGAGAGAGAGAGAGAGAGAGAGAGAGAGAGAGAGAGAGAGAGAGAAGGAGAGAGAGGAGAGAGAGAGAGAGAGAGAGATTGGGGAGAGGAGATTGAGCGAGAGGGGGCGAGTCGAGAAAGATGAGAAGAGAGGAGGAGAGAGGGAGCGAGGAGGGAGAGAAGAGCGAAGCAGGAGAGGAGAGATTGAGAAGGGCGAGAGAGAGAGAGAGAAAGAAAGAGAGGGAGAGAGGGAGAGAGAGAGAGAGAGAGAGAGAGAGAGAGAGAGAGAGAGTGAGTGAGAGGAAAGCTGAGAGAGTGCGAGAGCAAGAGGCACAAGGATCCCAACTGAAGGGGATCATAAGGCCAGGAGGGCGTTCCCAAAACAAGGCCTTGCCAAAGACCCAAAGTACGCTGCCAGGCTGAAATGACTGAATGTGGCATCTGTCGATGAGAGTTTGGGGTTTAGGGCCCTAAACCCTAAACCATGAACTCTAAACCATAAACTCTAAACCATAAACCCTAAACCTCCGTAACTTACGAGTCATGAAAAAGCTGAGAAGACCCGGGGCTTTGCTTGCTTGTCAGTGTTGTTTGCGCATGAGGCATTTCGGCCAAAATACTGAAACTCACCCCATACCCTAAATCCCACAACCCTAAACCCCATAGCCTAAATCCCACAAACCTAGACCCTGAACCCCGGAACCCTGTATCATCCCTCACTTTATACTCGGACCCCCTCTGGGTTTCAACGGCTGTGTCAAGGCCGCTGGGCTGCGCACACGCGATTCAGAAGCTCTTCCACGCCCTTCACCTCGGTAGGGATTTCTCTTTAGAAGTTGAATGCACTCCTTTTTCTCCAGGCGTGGACAGTACAGGCCGGTAGGGTTTAGGGTTTAGGGTTCAGTCAAAAGGCTTTGGACTTTTAGTGTTTGGGTTGTATCTTCTGGGCTGCAGGGGTTGAAGTTTAATCTCTGGCTCCCCTCTTCAGCCATCTTTAACTTGTTTAGAGGTTCGCTCGGGGTGTCCAGGGGTTCTATCACTTTGAAGGCCAGAAGTTACCCACCAGATACCAAAGACACCCGCAACCTAGTTCATGGTTGGGATGGTCTTAAGAAAGTAAACGGCTATTCTTTATTGGGTGTAAGTACCTATGTCGCCTCTGACAGATTCACCGGGGAGTCAGAAAAGGGGCAGGTCATTGTGGCTCCTTTTCCAGATCTTGATCTTGAAAGCGAGAGGAATGCAACATGTTGCAGATTTAGGGTTCAGGGTGCAGAACTGGCCCTGAACCCCCGAACCCTAACACCTGATCCCGAAACCCAAAACCCAAAACCCAGAACTCTCAACCTCACCCCTGAGTGCCCGCACTGCAGTTTTGTAACCTTCCTGACCTGGTCCAGCCGGGGAAGTTGGGGGTTTCAAGGTGCAGGAGTGTAGAGTTTTATAGAGATTAGGATATCGACGTTTGCTGTTTTGGGATTTAACGTTCATGGTTTTACGATCCTTTGCTTGGAGAGTTCACTCAGCAAACACAGCGGCCAACAGTTTGGGCTGCGAACTTGGTCAACCGAGCCTGAGGATGTCAAATGCATGCAAAGCCTGCAAAGACCACATACCTTGCGGTCTAAATCTTATACCGGAATTAAACTAACACCCGAGAAAAGGGGGTAAGCCGTTATACAGTACTGTCCGACATGGACCCAGAAACCTGAACCCACCGCGTTTGCAATCGAAGCCATACACCGAAAACTACCAAACCTCCAACGCCAACATGACTCCTAACCCTGACTGAAACCTGAAACCCTCAAACCCAAATCCCCCCCCCCAAAAAATGTATTGATAAATATTTAGGGCCCCTATACTACCGTGTTGCTGTGCCTCCAAATTACCAACCGCATCTCCTCAGAATCCTTTCGTTTGGAACCCCGCGGCCGCTAGAAAAGTTCGACTCCCGGGGCCCATATTCATACAGTACCTAGACCCCCCAAAGTAGGTAAAATAATGGCCCAAAACCTACAAAAAAGGCTATGATTCTACATACTTTTGGGGTCCAGGTATGGGTTGTCGTCAAAATTGGGGTCTATTTTTGGGCACCCTAAATGGTAGGTGCCGTATTATATTAGGCTCTGAGGAACCGTATACTAAATTCTACAAAACGGTGATACAATCCTACTATAGGCACGCGTAGGCACATAGACCCTGCGTGCTAGGCAGAATGATCGATAGCAACATCCCAATATGCTAGGCACAGGGACCCTCAATGCTCATACCCTACACCCAAACCCTACACCCTAACGGTGCAAGTTTTCAATGCTCCTAAACCCTAAACCCCTAAACCCCTAAACCCCTAAACCCCAAACCCCTAAACCCTAAACCCTAAGGTTTCAATGCTCATGCTGCGAAGAAAGCTCGGCCACCAGGCTGGTGCAAGAGATGCACAGCTGGAGGGGTTCCGAGCTTTCTTTCTGGCCAGCGCCCTGGCAAAAGGAGCACATAAGGCATATTGGGTTTAGGCTCTAGGCGTTTAGGGATTAAGGGTTTGGGGGTACGTCGGGTATATAGGGTTTAGGCTTTAGGGGTTTAGGGATTAAGGGTTTGGGGGTGCAAAACTGCGGGTTGACGGAGGATTCCGGGTAGCGGGGGCGGTGGGTTTGGCGTCTGGCTTCGGGGTCGTTGGAACTAGGGGTTCTGATTTTGCTTGGGGGTGCAGGACGAATAGGGCGTTGGGTGTACCAATGTTCCGAAGTCTCATATCTAGATGGGCTCGCAGACGGGCAGAAACTTGAAGAAGTTGAACACGGTTCGCCCTACTTGCGCCCGGATGAGCTGCACTAAACCCGAACCATAACCCACCCGCGACTTTGACCGCTGCAGCCCTTAAACCGCTGCTCATTCGAATTATGCTAAGTTATACCCCAAAGCCCATGAACCCCGAAACCCGAAAACCCCCAAGCTCTGAGCTCTAGACCGTGACCGTATGAAACCCTTATGCAAGCTTGGCATCTCGAGACCTTAAACCCTAAACTCCAAGCCCTGAGCCCTTAAACTTCAAAAGCCTAAATCCTACACCCCTGAACCGCCTAAACCCGTCAACCCCCCAAACGCGAACTATCTTGGGGGTTAGGATTAGGGGGACCCTTGGGGATATAGACCCTCTCAACAAGGCCCCTTTTAAGAGTGCCAAAAGTAGGGTTCAGAAGGGGTACCCTTTAAGGGGTCTCCCTACTAATACTACCTATTTATCTTGCTTTCAGGTAGCGAAGAGAGACAGGGGCCTCGAAATAGCCAGACCCCACTCCTCGAAGTCGCAATTTAGCCTCCGTCTGCCGAACAATGCCTCGCCGAAGGCTATGGATTCTCTTCCCAGAGACTCCAATATCCCTTAATTAAGGAATATTCCTTAAATCATATTAGGGATCCTACTACAATTTAAGGAATATTCCTTAATTAAGGGATATTGGAGTCTCCGGGTTAAGGGTTTACAGCTTAGGGTCTAGGGTTTGGGGCGGGGTTTACGCTTCATAGGATCTAGGGTTTTTTGGCATCAGGCTTCGCAATTCCTGTGAGGGCTGAGTCTGAGGTCTAGGGACTACAGGGGCCTGTAGGGTTCAGAGCTTAAACCCTAAGGCCCCAAAGTAGTTCCTTTTGGGGTTCATATATAGAATCCTATAAGGTAGTCCCAAAAAGGAACTACTTTGGGGCCTCTGGGAAGGTACTAAGTTTCAGATTGAGGATGAATCTTGACGCTGCTTTCATGGTCTCGGTTTGGGAGCCTCGGTGTTTTCGTTTTGGCAGAGGTGATGGCATCCACAACACGCAATTTCAGTAATCCCTAGGTCTTAGTCTAGAGGTACAGTGGCCCCGTTCATGTAACTTACATAGGGGTATGAACAGCTGGCAACACCTGTACACCCCCATGACAGAGACCCCCCTCTCAAAAAGCAAGCTGATGCGCATCGCAATATTCGTTTGTGTACACGTGCAGGCGCAAGCAGAGCAGCCGGCTCCGCGGGTACAGGGCTTCGGGCTTAGGGAATTCAAGACCCTACAAGATGAGACCCTAGAGTATGGCCGGCCTGAGTGCTGAAACTATATTATAGGGAGTTTCCGAAAATAGGGGGACCCTAATATGGTACCCTAAATACTAGGATCCTTATTGTAAGTACAAAATAAGGTACCCTAGTTTTCGGAAACTCCCATATATTCGCTCTTGATTGGAGGGATACAAACTCTACAGTGCTACTACGACGGCGATGCACGGCTGATTAGGCTCCTTTGCACCCTCAGCCCTAAGCCGACACCCCGGAACCCTCAACCCTAAACTGTAAAGTCCTCTAATCCCCTACCCCACCCTTCCGGGCTCTTTTGTGCCCTTCGACGACCCCCTAAAACCTAAAACCTAAAACACTAAACCCTTTTGTGCCCTCAGATGACCCCCTAAACCCTAAAACCCGAAACCCTTTTGTGCCCTTAGATGACCACCTCCGGAGTCTGAGATGCCAGCGTTTCATGTTCGTGCCCTTGGCACCGATAATGCGACGCGCCACCTTGAAGGGATGCAAAGGCGATTAGGGTTTAGGGTTTAGGATTCAGGATCGGAGACATGTACGGTTGCGCATTAGTAGTGTACGTGTAGGGTTTCAGGTATTCTAGGGCGCAGGGGGGCTTGGCAGTTTAACACATGAGTAATTTGGTTATGGTCTGAAGTCAAGGAAGGGTTCTAAAGGTTTCAGTATGACGGCCGATGGAGAGTGTGACAAGGAGGAAGTGTTACGATCACAGCTTCGTGGAATGTGCTTTCATTTTATCGGAGACCCGTCCATCGGCACATACATGTACATGCACACCTGCATGTACAAGCAGGCATACACGAAAGCATGAACATACATGTAGCAACCCTGCAGCACAAGCCGCTTGAGTCTGCAAGCACTGAACTCGGAAACCTTCAACTGAACCATACCCCAAACTAAACTCCGCCTGGAAATCCTTGTCGTTCTCGATTCCGATGATGAAGCGGCAGGTGTACCTGGAGCAAAGCGACAATTTTGTGATGCAGCGTAGAGAGTGTGCAGCATGGAATCCGGTAGGGCAGGGCACTGAGGGCCGGATTAGGCTTGGTGGAAGAGCCTGAATCCTAAACCTCGAACCAAAACCACAAAACTACGAACCGCAGGCTCGGGCCAGGCTTTGTGGCACAAACATGCCTAAACCTTGAACCCAAGAGCCCAAACACCATATTTTTGGAAATTTCGTCCCCGCGTTCGAAGCACGAAGATCATAGAATGGTCATGAGTCATGAGAATAAGCTCCACCAAAACGGTAAACGGTGGCTAAATCACCCGTATAGCATGTGATGCTCCTGAACCCTGAACAAACACAAAATCACCCGCATAGCATGACAAACTTCTCAGCGATTAGTTGTTAGCTGTAACGGAAAGTAATTAAACCGTTGACAAGAGCTTCACAACCCTAAACCCTGAACCCTAAATCCTAAACCCTAAACCCCTAAACCCTAAACCCTAAACCGTGCACAGTGCTTCAAGTTCGGGCCGACTGTTTGGCTGCTGAGGTTCGGCATTTGGCAAGCTAAGCATGGGTCAGATACTTACCTTTGGTTAGTAGGGAATGGAGGAATGGGGTACAACTATACCTACTATTGCTGCCATTCTACTAACCAAAGATAAGGATAGAGCTGTTCTGGGGTAGTGACCAAACCGCTCAACCCTAAACCCATAAACACTAAACTCCGACAGTGAATAGACTTGGTACGGCTCGATCAAGCATACTGGCCCAGGCGTCTGTACAAACAGAACACTTAGAGCATTTTTCGGTATATGCCGAGTCATTATATAGGCACTCGGGGGTGAGGAGTTACGTTTGGTATAAGAAGGGAACAGGCCAAGAACGCAAGAACTTGAACGCTCACCGCCTACTCATGAACCCGGCGAAGCCAAACACCTTGGAAACAAAACTGGGCCCTAGAACCATGAAAAGTAGACGTGAAACCCTGAGCCCTGGAACCCCCGAAGCCCAAGCATATCAGGGCACTTTCGCTGACTCTTCCCCGGAGATTTGTCCCCCTTGGTTCCATGTGCACTCATGGACGGGTAGGATTCATGAGGCCCAGTCTAGTGCAGTGACCTTACCTGAAGAATTGGGCAGTGGGGGTCGGTGCTGGCATTTCAATCATACTTGGAGGTTCATGGGTAGTTATAAGCGGGGTTATAAGTCCCCCAATATGGGTTATAAGTATAGTTACCCTACTTATAACCCTACTTATAACTACCCATGAACCTCCAAGTAGGGACTCAAATGAGGGGAGAGTCTTTCCAATTATTTCGGGGGCCTCAAAATGTAGGATGAAGGTAGGTGGGATATTCCCATATAAGAGTCCTTGTATAAGGGATCCTGAATCCCACCTACCTTCATCCTACCTTTTGAGTCTTTCCAATTATTCCAACCTCAGTTTGAAGGCTTTGGCCTCAGCGGCCTCGGCTGTTCATCGGTTCGGCTGAGTCATGCCATGGATACCTCATATACATATACATCCAGTAAATCTATATATATATATACATATATACAAATATATATATATATATATATATATATACATATGGGTATATATACATATATACATATACATATACTATATATCATGAGAACTGACCGTAGGATTCAAACCCCACAGAATTCTTCATGTACGGAATTATTGCAAAAGTCTTCATCACGGTCGCCGAGTCTTAGTTGCAAGACCCCTGAAAGCAGCAGCTCCGGGTCCCAATGTCAGCTGAAGCACCGAATCCTGGACACCAAAATCCACAACTGCAGATTTGTAGGGTTTGCTTTGGGGCGAACCTTGTAGAAGTTGCAAGGCGATCAGAAGCAAATGTTACTAAGCACTTATCACGCAAACCTCTAAGACACCCCCCCCTCCCACCACGGACTCGACCAAAATTGCCGACACAGAACCCCATTTCTCCCAAGCCTCACCCCCGCCCCCCAGGTATGCTGACACCTTGCAAGGATCGAACTTCTTTCTCAGCACCCTAATCCCTAAGCCCTAAACCCGTGTGTCCGTGCACCCCTGCAGAGCTGGCTGGCACTGCCCCAGGCCCCGCCGGCATCGGAGCGGCCTCAGGACAAAAGCATCTAAACGATCGCAACAGAAGCGTATAAGCGGGCGCTCAGAGTGTGAGCAGCAAACTTTTGCAATGAGGCTGACGGGGTGGCCGTTATAGACGCTCGAAATACTGGGATCATGTATTCTCTATCTGGGAGACTTTAAGGCCTTGAGCATTGGGCTTTGGAGGTATGCTGCGACATACTGCAATGCAATTCTTCAGACAGCATCGGGAACATAATGTAGATACATGCGTCTAGATGTGTATTTGTATATTATATGTATACATACATACATACATATATATATATATATACACATGTGCATGTATGTTTAGACATAAGCACATGCACACAGCAGCCATGTAGGTCGTGGATTCATTGCCGGGGTAGCTATGCATACGTACTCACCGTCATCTGTGATTGCAATGCCTAGTCCAGAAGAATCAAAGGAACCACGACACCTCGGCTCTGTCCAAAATTTAGAGTTAGCAGAATGGTCAGGGGGGGGAGTAAGGTCATAAGTCCCAGAATTGGGTGGTTGTCGAAATTATGGTCCCTTTCTGGGTCCCTATAATAATGCCGCACCCAATATTTAGGGTAACCAAAAAGAGACCATAATTTTGACAACCACCCAAATGGTATGCAAAGTAAGTGCATCTAGCATGTAGGTTGCGTTGCTTCAGGGCTGCATCCATCTTTGGGCTTCTGTGCCATCAAGCTCTGCGTCCTCAGCCGACGCTTCCTCCTCACGCCTCACCTCAGCCCTAAATCCCAAACCTAAATCGAAAACCCTAAACCCTTTTTAGGAGTCCTTGCCTTGCAACAAGACTCTCTTTGCATGTGGGGTCTAGATTCCGGTCGCCCACATGCCCACATGGTAGCAGTGCCGATGGATCCCTCGGAAATCATGCTAAAGCTCAGCCAGACTTCACACTGGTAGGTACTTGTGGCTATCTGGCTCTAGCATCTGGGGTCTATCCGGGTTGGATCAAACTCACAGACATCTTCTGCAAGACTCCAAACCCACCTAATTCCCCAAAGAACCCTAAATCCTGCCTCGCACCTTTGCGAACATGTGTCATGCAGGGTGCATGATGATCTATGGCACGTTGATGTGATCGCTCCGAAAAAGCACGAACATTCACTGCTCACGGGATGTTGACCCATGGAGCGATGCTGATGCTGATGCCAAAGATGTCGACGAGTGACAGATATGAATCTAGGATTGGTAGAACAAAGCCATGATGGTTTAAGACTAAGATGCAGATGAATATGTGGTAATGAGGATGATTAAAGCCCCCACTCCCAAATCGAACATGCCTAAACCCAAAAGTCCTAGACTAAACCCAGAACCCTAACCCCAACCGCAAGCTCCGTAACCTCAAACCCAAACCCTAACCGTAATCTCCTAAACCCAAACAAACCCTACCCTTACCCTATCCGTAAGCTCCTTAACCCCCAGCCCCCGAGTCCCTTGCCCCTGGCGGCCAGGACTGTGCAGGTGCTCCAGGCCTCCGCGGATGCCGTTCGCTGGGTGGGTACATAGGTAGGCAGGAAGGGGGGGAAGCGGGGGTTTAGGGTTTGGGGTTTTAGGTTTGGGTAGTAGGGTTTTGGGTTTTGGGCATAAGGGTTTGGGGTTTGGGGTCTGGGGTTACGTAGTTAGGTATGTAGGTAGGTAGGCAGGTAGTTAGGTAGGTGGCTTCGGCGAGTGCCTAAATCGTAAAACAAATCATCTGGAGCAGCCCTGTATGATAAGTCACCGGCGGAAATCCCCATCCAGGGAACGGCATTCCAGGATACCTCTCTTCAGCTCACATTTCGATTTGGTTGAGGCTTGGACAGGTTCAGAGATACTTCGGGTGCTAGGTTCAGCATCTGAAGGTAGCAGGAACAGATCGATTTGGAAGTTCTGGGCCCAGCAGGCATCACGACAAGATATCTCAACACAGGCCTGCTTTTCACGACAACTCCCCTCTCTTCATGCTGATGTCCATCTGCTGTATGAACGCACGGAAGCCTCAGCCCCAGGGATTTACTCCAATCGTCCCTCGGCTCTTGAAGCTCGAGGAAAGGATCCTCAACAAACGCCGAAAAGCCCAACCCCAACCGCTGCATCTTAAACTCTAAAATAGCGGCCGAAATAACTACCAATACTAGTTTGGGGGGGGTTCCTTATTATATCTATACTCTAGTGTACCCCCAAACCTGTTCGAATTACCAAGGCCCCTATATTAGCAATCACAAACCATCCCTGCCGGGCACGGTCCCGGCAAACTCGAATTAGCCCACTGGATGCGCAGCGTCCCTTCCAAGCCGTTCAAGACCTCCGGACTACTTGAAGGATCATGGGATATAGCAACTAGGGTTATAATTACTGTAATCATACTTATAATTACTTATAACACCAATTAAGGTACTTATAACCTATCCTCCAGGTAGCTGGTTTTCCATTCGGCTTTGCTTGACGTGGCTAGGGCTTGTCTAACCAAAAGAAAAGGGGGCTTTGGGGGAAGGGATTTGGAGCTTTGTGGTTTAGAGTTTACAGCCTTGGACTTTTCGGGCTGAAGGCTTCGTGGCACTCAAGGTGCAAGCACTTCAGAGGTTTAAACCCATCTTGGAGTGATCTCTGGCGAAGTTTGGGCCTTGGATGGGTTTGGGGTCTGCTGTTGATGCAAAGTTTAGGGTGTTTATATAGGATTGTCACTGCACTAGACCACCTGTGAACTCTGGTAGGAAGCCAGGACACGAGGCTGCAAGTTTTCAGAAGGCTGTATGGAGCATCAACTCCACACAAAAACCAACCCTCAGAAGCACCAAACTCTCTAACCCTGACCACTTAGCTTACCTTTGGTGAGTAGGGAATGGAGGAATGGGGTACAATTATAACTACTATTACTACCATTCTTCCCTAAACCCTAAACCCATATCTACTATTACTACCATTCTTTCCTAAACCCTAAACTACTATTACCACCATTCTTCCATTCCCTACTAACCAAAGGTAAGTTAACTCTTAACTCCGATCTCCCGGGCCTCCTTGTGCTTGGAAAAGCTTTCAAGCTAGTTACAACATGCTGTCGTCATTTTATGGTAATTGTTGATAGGCTTTCGGCAGTCAGATGACAGCGCAGTACAATTTGTTCAATAAGGACGATAGAGGATCCTCTTGCTAATCATTCTTGTTTAGGGTCTATGGCGGAGCGGCGCACCTCAATTTCTAAAGCTTGGGAGGGCTCGGGTAGATGTCTTTTGAGGTTTCAGATTTCAAGTCCAGGCAAGTCATGGGCTGCCTTCGCAAGAAAACTCACCTGGCTGCGTTGCTTCTTGGTAGGCGTTCTTAGGGTTGAGGTTTAAGGATTTTCTGAAGCTTCGGGAACATCGGTTGGCCTTGCCGTTCAAGTCGTTCATGGCCGCCTGACGGCAAGCAAAATCGCGATGCCGGCATCGCAGCCAGCACCCTGAAGTCTCGAGTCTAGACTCTACCCAGGGGCCCCAAAGTAGTTCCTTTTTGGGTGTGTCCTCTTTTTTGGTTAGGGACTATAATATACTACCTAAAAAGGAACTACTTTGGGGCCCCTGGGTAGACGAAGGACACTCCAGATCATGCGAAGCCTGTTGCTGCTAGTCTCCCCAAGAAATCACACCAAATATGCCAGCTCTTTGCAAGAAATCACCTCAAATATGTGCTCACGAAAGCGTGAAACATTGTGAAACGAACAAGACCGACACAACGCTTCGTGAACAGAAGGGCCAAGGCAAGGCTAAACAAGACGGCTGGCGCAACGAGATCTTCATCTTCATGATAAGGGTCTTACAACTCAGGATGGGGTCCCCGATATTCTGCTGCTATCAGTCAAGGCTTGCATCAATGATGCGAAATCAGGTACGCCAAGCAACTGATCACTACAATGCCACAAATACACTACTAACCCAAACACCCGACACCCCGTGCATACCCGAAGACCGTACATCCCAAGGCTATTCTCTGCTTCTGAACCGTGAAACCCAGCATGCTAAAGCAGTCTTTGAACTTTCCCATCCACCCGATGCATGGAAGTCAAACGATGCTTCGCAGACTGCGGAACCCCAGTTTGGGGAGTCATCTGTTCTGGATTTAAGTTTTGGGTTCATTGCTAGAGCTTCTACATGCAATAGGCCGGCATAGCCCAATCGAACTGTCTTTGCACCTTGCAAACAACTGGAAACGAGCCCCCGTTGCAAAATTAAGATTGCAAAGTCTAGAAAACCACAAAACCGCAAAATGCTAAAGACCCAAGAACTGCTAACACCTCAACAACAACAACAACCCCTACCCCTAAACCCTCGGCGCCAAACCGTGAACCCCAGACCCCGAAGCCCACACGCTAAGCCTGAAACGACAAACCCTACCAGGACCCCGCCCCCAAGTGCTTTTTAATAGAGTCCTTGTGGTCCTTAGTAATTTTTGTATATAGGGTAGTTGGGGATCTAGGTAAGCCCCCGAATCCCTGAACCACTCAAATACACACCTTCGGTTAGTAGGGAATGGAAGAATGGTAGTACTAGCAGTTGTAATTCTACCCGTTTCCTCCATGCCCTACTAACCAAAGGTACTTGAACCCTGAAAGCCCCAACCCCGAACCCATAAACCCTAAAAACCCTAAACCCTAAAACCCTAAATCCCTCCTAACCCAAGATTTAGTATAATTGTACCCCATTCCTCCATTCCCTACTAACCCAAGGTAAGATTAGAGGTCCTGGGCATCCTGGAAGGTCTCAAAAATGATGATGGCGCTGGCGCCGGCCTCTGGTTTCAGAGGATGGTTCAGAGCCTCCGAAACCCCTGCATTAAGGAATATACTTTAAATCATATTAGGGATCCTATCTTAATTTAAGGTGTAGTTTGGGCTTTATAGTGATGGATGGTTCAAAGGGGCTTGGTTTTTTCATTCAATGGTTTAGGGTTTCGGGGTTTGGGGTTTCGTGTTCAGGGGTTTGGGCCGCGGTATAGGCTGTAGGGTGCAAGTAGAGGGTAGCGCTGAGAATTTGGGGGTTACCAAGCCCTGCGGCTCAAAATAGGGCCACCAGCCTCCTGGTGTGAGCTCCTCTGCTTGTTAGCAACGTCAGAAGCTGTTTTTGTGCAGCAGTTGGGGGTGGAGGTCCTGCTTCTTCGAAGCGGCATAGGAGATTTTAAGGTGTCAGCCGTGTGAAGTCAGTTTGAATCTCTGGCGATGCACAATTGAACCCGTGCTATAGGACCTCATTAATTACCTGTACTACTTTGCGGGTTCCTTGTTATAGTTCTAGTATAATGGGCCCCAAAACCCCATTCTAACTACCATAGCATCCCTAATATCATTTAAAGTATATTCGCTAATTCAGGGGTTTTGGAAGCTCAAGGAGCATGAGCTGGAAATTCCTGTCAAACTTTCTCGACTTAATCCCGTGGAACCCACAGCAGGGATAGCTGTCCGACAACAGCATTCGGAGAATCCCGGCAACAGCAGGCGAGCAGGACTAGTTACTAAATAGAAAGCTTTGTACGTTCACTCTCCAACCTCAAGGCGGGCTCGACGAACCCAGCGAGAGCATTCATCAGCATCAGCTGGAAGTCCCGTTTGGACCCCCAGCAGGGGCAGCAAGTCGACAACAAAGGAAAGGGCGAGCATCATCAGCATCAGCCGGCAATCCCTTCAAACTTTCTCCACCGTTTCCGAGCCTTTGACCACGCAGTGCGCTTTGCAGTTCGACCCAATCATTGGACGGACTCAGGGAAACGCAAGGCGAGCATCATCAGCATCAGCTGGAAGCCCCTTTGAACCCCAGCACGGGCAGCAAGTCGACAACAAAGGAAAGGGCGAGCATCATCAGCATCAGCTGGCAATCCCTCTAAACATTCTCCGCCGTTTCCAAGCCTTTGACCACGCAGTGCACTTTGGCGGTTCGACCCAATCTTCGAACGGATTCAGCAAACCGCCAAGGCGAGCATCATCAGCATCAGCTGGAAGTCCCTCTGAACCCCAGCAACGGCAAGAAGTCGACAATCAAGGACAGAGCGAGCATCATCAGCATCAGTCGGCAATCCCTTCAAACTTTGTCCACCGTTTCCGAGCCTTTGACCACGCAGTGCGCTCTGCAGTTCGACCCAATCATTGGACGGATTCCGCGAAACGCAAGGCGAGCATCATCAGCATCAGCTGGAAGCCCCTTTGGACCCCCAGCAGAGGCAGCAAGTCGACAACAAAGGAAAGGGCGAGCATCATCAGCATCAGCTGGCAATCCCTCTAAACATTCTCCACCGTTTCCGAGCCATTGACCAGGCAGTGCGCTTTGCAGTTCGACCCAATCATTGGACGGACTCAGGGAAACGCAAGGCGAGCATCATCAGCATCAGCTGGAAGCCCCTTTGAACCCCAGCACGGGCAGCAAGTCGACAACAAAGGAAAGGGCGAGCATCATCAGCATCAGCTGGCAATCCCTCTAAACATTCTCCACCGTTTCCGAGCCATTGACCAGGCAGTGCGCTTTGCAGTTCGACCCAATCATTGGACGGACTCAGGGAAACGCAAGGCGAGCATCATCAGCATCAGCTGGAAGCCCCTTTGAACCCCAGCACGGGCAGCAAGTCGACAACAAAGGAAAGGGCGAGCATCATCAGCATCAGCTGGCAATCCCTCTAAACATTCTCCACCGTTTCCGAGCCATTGACCAGGCAGTGCGCTTTGCAGTTCGACCCAATCATTGGACGGACTCAGGGAAACGCAAGGCGAGCATCATCAGCATCAGCTGGAAGCCCCTTTGAACCCCAGCACGGGCAGCAAGTCGACAACAAAGGAAAGGGCGAGCATCATCAGCATCAGCTGGCAACCCCTTCAAACTTTCTCCACCGTTTCCGAGCCTTTGGCCACACAGCGCGCTTTGAGTTCGACCCAATCATTGGACGGATTCAGCGAAAGGAAAGGCGAGCATCATCAGCATCAGCTGGAAGCCCCTTTGAACCCCAGCACGGGCAACAAGTCGACAAGAAAGGAAAGGACGAGCATCATCAGCATCAGCTGGTAATCCCTTCAAACTGTCTCCACCGTTTCCGAGCCTTTAACCACGTCATGCGCTTTGCAGTTCGAGGACGGACTCAGCGAAACGCAAGGCAAGCATCATTAGCATCAGCTGGAAGCCCTGTTGAACCGCCAGCAGGGGCAGCACATCGACAGCAACGGGCATCATCAGCGGCAGAAAGACCCTTCAACTTTCCCCCGCCTCCCGCTCCCATCTCCGGCATTTGACCCGCCAAGACTCCCTGGTGCCTACTAGGTCACGGGGCAATGGATCCTTACAGCAGTCCCTATATAATCCCCAATAGTACTTCCCATAAACCATTCCCCCACTCCTTGCTAAGCACCACGGAGAAGAGGGATAGCAGTTCGATCGAGTCTTTGGACGGTTTCAGCGAACGGCATGGCGAGCATCATGAGCATCAGCTGGAAATCGCTTTAAACTACTGTAGGGGCCTTAACAATTTAGAATTATACGATACTTATAACAAGGAACCCCCAAAATAGTGTTGGTACTTGTTTTGGCTCCTATATTAACTCAACTTTCTCATGACATCTGGACCAGCAGCGGAAGTCCCTTCAAACACACGCTCCCATCTCCAAACCTTTCTACCCGAGCAAGAGTAGCGGTAGGAATTCCTTTTCAGATCAACTCGTTCACGTTGGAGGTCTCAGGTTCACAAAGTTTTAATGGGTGAGCCTCTATACTCCTACACCGGAAAATCTAAATTAGATGGGCCTTCATCGGGTGGTGTGAAAGCTTCTCGCGGTCTAGGGTGCAAGCTTTGGCAGTGAAAGGGTTTGGGGTTAAGAAGTTACAGTTTCGGGATCAAGCTTTGTGGTTTACCTTAAACTTCTAAATTCTAAACTGCCCCTAAACCTCAATCTGAGGGCCTCAATCTGAGCCTTGCTGCGGTGCTTCAGGCTTCGAGACTACAAGTCTTGCTGGGTTAGTTCTACTGAAGGAGAGGCGGAGCGGTGCTAAGGCGTAATTGCTGTGAGCTTTTGAGTTTGGGGGGTTTAGGGTGATCCACTCGATGGGCTTAGTTGAAAGAAAGGTTTGGGTATATGTTATACTATAGCTTTATGGGATTTATGGGGTATATACTATTGCGACCTACTCCGAGCCCTATATTACCAGATCTAGGCTTCAGAGGCCTGGGTTCCACTGGATCTGGAACTGTGTCATGAGCTCTTATGCGGGCGTTTCCGAAAACTTGGGGGTACCTTGTTCTGGGGTCCTTATGATAAGGATCCTACTAGTTAGGGTACTATATCAGGGTCCCCTACTATCGGAAACTCCCATGTTTACAAGGTAACTTCGGATTTTCTGAGAGGCAGACAGCCGGTGGCGTAGGGATCCGAGGATGACATCGCTAAAACCCTAAACTGTCAACGACCCTCAGCTGAAAACCTCAAACTCAAACCCACTAAGATGATGGGGGTTTTGGGGGTATGGGTCCGGCTCCATGAGAGAGATTTGCCAAATAAGACCCATGCAAGTTGGGGGGGAAGGGGGTTCGGTTCGGGGTTTGGGGTCGCTGCTAGTCCCGCTCTAAAGCTGACCTCATCAACGCGGATCTGCTTCACGCTCCCATAGCGGCTGAACACCTGCACTTCGGCACAGAGTCTGTCGCTCAGGCATATGCCCCTTGTATGCAAGCCCGGCTTCTTGTTGAGCCACTACCAGAACTCAATAATAGCAAAGTGTGCTTCTGTGTTTAAGACTTCGACATGCTCTAAACCATGCGAGGGCGAGGCAAGATGCCTCACATTTCCAAAACACCTAGAAACAAAACAGGCAACCGCTTCAGATCCTCTACAGGTAGGCAGGATGGCAAAATCAACCAGTGCTATATGACATCGAGCAGAGCGTTGAAGCGAGGTGTACCTATATAGGTAGATGATACGAAACGAGACTAGCCCTAAACCCTAAATCCCACACCCTAAACCCCATCTAAACCCCGAACCCTAAACATCTAACCCTACATCCCTTCTCACCTACCCAGGACTCCAGGCTTCCAGCTGCTGAAGCTTTAAGGTAGAAAGCAGAAAGTTGGAATATGATTATCCTAACCCTTCTATGGTAAATTATAGGGTATCCTACCATGAAACCATATTCCAACTTTCTGGAATTCCCTGTAAGGCTCAGGCATCTGAAGTTCGCGTGGCTCACAGGACACAGGGAGTAGAGCTCAGGGTTTATGTGGCTGAGATGGTTTAAACGGGACGACTGAAAGGTTCTACGGGTTACGGCGTACAGGGTTCAGGGTGCGGTTGTTTCGGCTCAGAATTTGGAGCTCATCGGGTTCAAGGTTTCACGTTTAGAAGAGTTTCGGGTACGGGTTCTAGGCCACTCTAATATATCTCGCACCTTCTAAGGGAAGCCGTGAAGGGCTGCTGCGCAGCGCATGCTGCGATCTTGTACTGGACAATGAGTTATACATGTACATATACAATACATACGCGCTGCATGCATATATATATATATATATATATATATATACACACACACACCTTACAGACAGACAGACAGACAGACAGACATCCGTGCATGCGTACATACACACTTTCACAATTACATACGCATGTACATAAACATGTATATATATATATATATATATACATCCCCATTAAACCAACAGCTCCTACACCCTAAGACCCACAACCTGCTCCCAAAAAAACCTCCTGATCCGCGCGCAGCCTTGTGCAAGTCATCCTCCGTGAGCTGATACCTCGTTTATGCTAACCAACTCTCACCAAGCCCTAAACCCTAAACCCTAAACCTAAACCCATAAACCCTAGAAGCCCAGACTCCTCGAAAATGAACGACGGCTCTTTAGTGCCCATTATACCCCACTGCACAAGTACCTTGGGTTCTAGGCAACCAATCGCTGTATGTTTAATGTAGGGGTCTCAGTGGGGTTTTGGGCTACGTTTCACCACATATATAGCTATATACTGCATTAATATTCATCTGAAGGGGTTCAAACCGCTGTATTACCGCTTGTGCGACTCTCATCCTGAATCAGCTGCTGGGCGCTGGTCGATGCCACAGCCTTACTGCTTGCGAAGCGCACCGTCCCGAAGAGCAGCGCAGAAAAGTCCTCCTCAGGAGGAGTCAAGGTGCCCACGTCCTCGAGCTCTTGGGGCTCGTTGGAGTCCTAGGCCTCCTCAGGAGGAGTCAAGGTGCCATCGTGGGGCTCGTTCGGCTCAACATCGAAGACGTAGCCCTGGAGAATCTTGTCAAATTCGGCAGTCTCCTCGATGCCGGCCCTGTGTCATTCGGCCAGTATAGGATAACTGCAGAACCGGTTTTACACTTTAGAACCCAGAAGGGTGCGCAATGGTCTGCCTAGACACCATAAGAAGCTATCACATCTACGACTCTTCGAACCAGGAACAAGCACTTTCGGATTCAGAGTTTAGGGAACACAGGCGAACACCTACAGCACAAATCCTCGAGACCCACAGACCCTAAACGCGACCCTACTTGGAGGTTCATGGGTAGTTTATAAGTAGGGTTATAAGTAGGGCAACTATAATTATTATAACCCAAATTCGGAGACTTATAACCCCACTCATAACTACCCATGAACCTCCAAGTACATACCTAAACCCTGAATCTCAAAAGCCGCTGACCCACAAAGACCTCGAGGTACAAACCCTAAACCCTTCTCCACCCTAAACTCTAAACCCTTCTCCACCATAAATCTGACCGTTCCAGGCGGAGGCTTGGCTGCAAAATATCGGACCCTCGAGAATGCAAACCGAAAGCCACCCAAAAAATGCGAAAATGCCCAACTCAAAGGGCAGCTTAAAGCATGGCACTTCTAGGGTTTCGAGTTTGGAGTTTAGCGCCTAAACCCTACAGCCCAAACCCGAAACTAGGGTTTAGGGAACCCTCAAACCCTAAACCCTGAAACCATGCGCCAAGAGAGCTGGAACTTCATTCCCTCCACGGAGACGGTCACCGCAGGCTCCGATGGCATCGGTGGGGCATACCTGGACAAGTCTTGTGCTGAGTCTAGACTAGTAGTAGTAGTAGTAGTAGTAGTAGTAGTAGTAGTAGTAGTAGTAGTAGTAGTAGTAGTAGTAGTAGTAGCGGTAGCGGTAGCGGTAGCGGTAGCGGTAGCGGTAGCAGTAGCAGTAGCAGTAGCAGTAGCAGTAGCAGTAGCAGTAGCAGTAGCAGTAGCAGTAGCAGTAGCAGTAGCAGTGGCAGTAATAGTAGTAGTAGTAGTAGTAGTAGTAGTAGTAGTAGTAGTAGTAGTAGTAGTAGTAGTAGTAGTAGTAGTAGTAGTAGTAGTAGTAGTAGTAGTAGTACTACTGCTACTACTACTACAACTACTGCTGGTACGTACTACTAGCACTACAACTACCACTCGAGTCGAGAGCTGCTGAAGGTTTGCTGGTGCAAAACCCTACACTACCCAGGCTGTCCCAGCCCTAAACCCTACTCCCCAAGGACCCTAAATACTAAACAACACCCTAAACCCTCGCTCTTAGTGTTCCCAACCTTACAACCCAAACGACCCCTCAACACCGAGACCCCAACCCAAGCACTACATATCCGGAGCTTTCTAAATCGTAAGCCCTGCCAAAGCTAAGCAAAACAAGCCCTTGAAGCTCCGACAGCTGACTGAGGTTTCAGGCGTTAGCGTTTCGGCTGCAAGTTTTGAGTTGAGGGTTGCTGATTTGGGTTAAGGATTTACCGTTCGGAATGTAGGGCTCAGGCTTAGGATTTGGGTTTTAGGTACCATCCAGCTAGTTGAGAATTTCAGAAACACAAAACACCTGGTCATTCCCGTTGAAGTTCTACACGCAGAAGCTTGGAATACAAGGTAGGTTTCTTGGGGTCCAGCTGCATGGTTTCAAGGCTTTCGCATGCAGGGCTTTAGGGTTTAGGGTTTCGGGTTGGGGGCTCCTTATCATTTGCAAAAGGAGCTTGCAGGCTTGTGCCGTTCAAGCCTCCGTCGCAAGTACATTGGTTGAACTCACTGAGACGGGTCGTGGCCTCTGATCCTATCGTCATGTTTGTGACGGGCCGCAACTATGTACCCAGGCCTCCATCAAGAGTTAGCGGTTTGAGGGGTTGGGTTCAGTTAGGGTCCAGCGGCTTTAGCGGATTCATGGCTCAGGAGACTTTAAACCCCGAAACCCCGCACACAAAATCCTGAGGCGCCGGACGGGTTCGGTGGGAGGTGCGGAAACGGCATAGGCCTTGGTCTTTGCTCGTTTAGGGTGAATACCGGGGACTTGGACTTCCAATTGGACCAGCTCGGCCACTTAGCGTTTTTAACGAAACCCACAACACGTCGATCTTTTCAGCGATAGATCGGTGAGCATGGGCTGTGCTATAGAATTTCATCCCGGGGCTTTCTGAAAGGGACAACCCTAGCTCACTCCCGGGCAATCGTGTTCTCAATCAGCCAAAGATTAGGGAATATGGATTTAGGCTTTGACATGGTTTCCTTCCAGTAGGGGCTCGGGTTGCAAGGGCTGGGCTCCACATCTCCAGGTGATGGGACTCATGCTATGGCAGGTTCGGTTTGGGATATCTAGGACTGTTCTCATGATGCAGCTCTGGATGCTATAATTTCTCACTATAACGGAGGATAACGCATGAGAGTATGACCTTTATACTGCTAGCTAGGGGTATGACATGCAAGCCTCAAGCTCAGAATCCAAGGCGACCACTGATTTCCGAATCCGACCTGTCTGCAGAAGACCACGGAATCTTGAAACTGAAGACATGGCCTGAATTTACTGCGGCAGGGATGGGGCCTGTCATCACGAAGATCCTAAACCCGAAACACCGGAACCCTAAAACATAGGGGCCTCAATGGTTTAGAACAGGGTAATTAGTTGTGGTAGTTCTATACTCTGCCACATTTATGTGGGCAGCAATTACAATAATGAGGAGCACTGATACAACCCAAGGATCCTAAAAATCACCGAAACCCCAATCTAGGCCGGGAGCCTCAACCTTGAAACTCTACAAAAAAAACAAAATCCCTGAACCCAATCAAGATCCCTAAACCCTAAAGCAAAGCAGCAAAAAAACAAAAGCCGAAAGCACGGCCGGGACCCCGACGGCGCAGGGAAACCGGAGCCAGGAAAGCTGGCTGCCTGGCTCTGGAGCCCCTGGTGGAGGTACCTGGACAGCTGGGTTTAAGGATTTGGGGTTTGGGTTTAGGGGTTTAGGGGTTTAGGGTTTAGGGGTTTAGGGTTTGAGGTTTGTGGGATTTAGGGTTTAAGGCCTCGCAAACTGTTCGTTGGCTTTGTTTGTTCTCGTTGGCGCTGACAATGCCCGCCAGCTTTTTTTTGCGTGTTGTCCGCCTTTCTGTGCTGGCTGTGGTTGTTTTCTGTTTGCGTGGCTGCATTGCTTCTGGCTTGCTCGTGCTTCGATCTTTCTATCTTGTGTGTATGTGAGGCTCATGGTTGTCTTCGTTGTGGTTTTGTCTTGCGGTTGGTGTGCTTTGTTCATCTGCGCTACTTGTGTGCATATGCTGTCGTCTCTACGTGATACGATTGTTCTGTACCGTCGATTGCTTGCATTACTTTGCAAGAGCCGTGGGTGATATCTACAACAATTTACTGTTGGATAGCCTTTGACTGACAGGTTTAAGCTATGGCTGTCACCGCTGGCTTGGGTTCGCAGCTCAGCCGGTGGCCAGCGGCTTTAGAACCGGTTTTGTGGTTTCATTCCAAGGCTAACTCAAAAACATATCTCAGAAGTGGGCGTGGGTTTGAAGTGGGCTTGGTTGAGGGTTTATCGGTACTTGTTTTTTGGAATACCGGGTTACACTACGATTCTTGAGTCTACGGTTCTTGATTTTGGGTTTAGGATGATTTGCAAGGGCATTTTGTGCCGTTCCCATTGCCCTTATCAGGGCCCATGTTGAGTCCCCGATCGCGTGAGTGTCGAAAAAGGTTAATGCTCCTGGGCAACAGCTTGACTCGGTTTTAGGGTTCGGAACTCCCGCGCCGATATGCTGAACCGTAAACTCCAAACGCAATGCCCTGGAAATCTCAATAGTTTTACACCCTGACCCCTGCTGCATAACATGGGGCACTGGACCATCTGCATGTATGCTTGGGCCATGCTGGGGTCAAAAGGCGGAGGAGGTGCTGCCTTGGATGCAGAGTGATGCACAACTGCAGAGCCGGCGGCATCGTCTGGGTCTTACATAGGGGGCTGATTAAGCAGACGCGAGTTTAGAGGTATATCATACAAGTACCATAACAAGCACCCCGAAGGTATAGTATCACTACACTGCAAGCTCCTACAGTGGGCTTCAGTGTGTATGGTTCACAGAGTGGCAGATTCGGGTATTTTAGGGTTTAAAGTCTGGGTTCAGGGTTTGGCTTCCGGTCAAGTCGTCTTGCTCCTCTCTGTAACATCACACACCTGCTCCTGAGGAACAACACATTGAAGGGAAGATGACTGCATTTTGACTTGCAGAACAGGTGTTTATAAGACGAACAGGGATGCCACGGACGAGATAGATCTTGACCTGATCCGAAAACCATTTGGCGCACAACCTCAAATGTCGGGTGGACTTGCCGAGCAAGTGTTGGGTAACACCAAAGTAGCAAAACCGCCCGCAAATGTTGGGGCACGATGATCCCAAAAGGTGCAGGCGGGTTGGCCTGCACAAGAGGTGTAGGATGACAGTGTCTAACATCTGACTTTGAGCATTGACATTCGAGATTCGAGACCCATGCAACCAATCCGAGCTCGCACGAGCTTTTACGATGCTACACAACAGCATTCGCACAACCGCGATATGACCTTGCAATCAGGCCATGTTTTTGCTGGCACCGGCATCCACCAGCACGTGCACGGCCTCAACTGACCACGAAAAGATTCCGGCATCAACGGAGTGGCGCCGTCGTTGTCGGCCAACTTGAGCTTCACCACATGCCACCATCAAAGCACATGAAACCGTCCAAGCTCGGCCAACCTGTAATTAAAGCCTGCAAACGAACTAATTGGGGCCGGGGGTTCCTAAGCTCCGAAATGATTGCATGTGGCATGATGGCATGGAAAGAGTTCCCTTAAGCTCCGTCCCAGCTCCTAAGCCACACTCACGCGAAATCAACGTGCAGCTCCCTATCATGATTCCTCTAAGCTTGCTCATCTGACATGCTTGCTGCAACTTTGTTCCCGAAAGAATGCTTCTAATTCCCAAGTCGCAGCCGCTTCCAGATCCCAAGTTCCCCGCCTCGTGAAGACAGGACAATCCGACCCACCCGTGGCTCAAAACCGTGCGACTAAGATTCCATGAGGGTGGTGGCGGAAGAGCACGTTCCCGGTAAAACGGTGCCGTGCCCCATGGTGGAGGTGTTGGAACCGGTCCAAGGCCTTCCACGTATACAAAGAGGAAGGGTCCCAGGAACTGGAAGCCGCCTCGCAGTTCCTGCTGGAAGACGCCCGCAAAAACGGACGCAAGCCCTTGACGTTTCAGGTCACGTCCTGGACCCCACAACAGTTGAAACGGGAACCCTTCTGCGAGCGGTCGGGAAAAGATCTGAGAAACATGTTCGCGCTTGCTGCAGTTGCTTTTTCCCGCTAACAGAAATCTGCGACCACGAGCGCTTGTACCCCAGTGGTAGACCATTCTCATCCGCATCGCCTGGGTAGTTCCTACGATATGCTGCTCAGAATGGCACCCCACTGTACCAACATCAAGATCCGAAACTGCACCCGAAGCAGCCTCCCGAGGAGAATCGAGATGGACCAGGGCTTGACAGAAACCCAAAGCACACCCTGAATCAAATCGTATGGCGCAAAAACTTCCAAGAAATACGTGGGAAATGCTCATGCCAGCAACTCCCATAAATCTTCTCTAGCACAGAGCATCCCCACGATAGCACCTTAATTCTTTTGAATTGCACATCGTGCTCTCAACGGGAAAACCACCCCCGCGCTCTTATCCTTGTGAGAACACCTGAGACAGAGTGCATCCAATGTTTGCCAAATACCTGCGAACATCTCCAAAGCATCAGCCACGCTGCAAGGGTAAAACTCTGGCTGATTGCCAGGATTCAAGCCGAAAGTCCTAAGGCCAGGAGCCTCTTCCGGAAGAGCTGGCAAGAACCGGCTTTTGACCAGCCTCCCAGCTAGATTCACACCGGGATTCTGCACAGAAACAATAAGTGCGATGATTATCATGAACCATGGTTGATTATCATGAACCATGGTTATCAGGTGATGTGACCAATGCCAACTACCAGAACCACCCAGTACTCCTGCTTCCACATACGCACAGGCCTGAAAACATGTTGCTATCTGGGGATACAATGTGGACTTTAATTCTTGCAATGCAATTGTTTCGCTCCTTGTTGTTCACAGCTGGCCAGGACATGTCGCCCGCCCGTAAAAGGAAACATGCTTTGTCAAGCCAAACTGGCAATCACCTGGTCCGTCACCATGGCCAGGAAGTCGACCTCTGGGATATCGCCGTCCTGCACCTCAACCTTTTCAAGCAAGCACAAACGCAATGGATTCGGCCAAGAAACAGTTGAGGTGATGCTTCAATCACAACAATTCGTCGCAGAGGACTTTGGTAAGAAAACAGAACAGCTCTTGTGCAGGGATGTGGACCCTTATCTGTGCCGCCGGTTTCTGCCATGACGCGTTTCGGGAGACAGTAAATAGCTTAGAATGCTTAATGTTAGTAAGACCTGCTTTGCTTCCGCGTCAAGCGTTCTGCTGCCAGCACGGTGCGTTCACTTCAACGGAGGGAGAAAACAGCAAAACCGTATAGAGATAAGGAAATGGCAAAAGGTTTGTTTTCAACTCGCGTGTAGGGGCTTCGTCCCAAACTTGCTGCCACTCAGATGTTGTGTGAGATTGAGAGCAAACGAGCAGGGTCGGACGCAGTGGTCTCAGGCTTGAGCCAAAACGGCACCCCTGAAACCCGTAGAGCCGAAATTTCTATTTGAACCCTTGAACCCTGACCCTAAAATACTAAACCCTGAATGTATGTGGCTCTTGGACCCTAAACCGCCTAAACTATATAATCCCCAAACCTGAAACCGCTAAACCCTATAAACCTAAACCCACATCCCTTCAAAACCATAAACCCTATTCCCTAAATCTCTGCATGATATAGTCTAATAGTCGATGTTAACTATAGTATACTATACCCCATGACCCTGCTCTAGTTATGAAGGCCCCTGTACTCGCATATTACACAGCCTATCTAGGGGCCACTTTTTGGCTCCTGCGGTTGGTGGTATAAATCCTGCATTACCTTTAAGGACCCTAAACTATGGGAATTATGGTATCTTCGGTATTATGGGTAATGCAGGATCCCTAAACCCTAAACCCCCAAAACCCTATAGATTCCCTGAAAGGAACCCTAAACCCCAAAAGCCCTATAGATCCCTGAAAGGAACGCCTTTAAAGCAACCAGGATTTATATCATCAACCCCTGAATCCTTTTGATCCCTTACAGGAGCCCTTTGAAGGTACCCTCAAGGAACCTCAGGCCTAAACCCTGAACCCTATACTTCTTATCATCAGCCGTTTTGTGGTTCCTGGCTTTTGGGATCCCTAAACCCTCAACCCCCAAAAACCCTATAGATTCCCTGAAAGGACCAACTTGTAAAAGGGACCAGGATTTATATCATCAACCCCTGAACCCTATAGATCCCTTACAGGAGCCCTTTAAATGTAACCTGAATTCTATACCCCTTATCATCAGCCGCTTTGTGGTTCCTGGCTCTTGGGATCCCGGCTGGCATCCCAGAGTCGGCTGGGGCAGTCGCACCACCCACGCCGAGCATTGCCTTCTAGTAGGGTTCAGGGAGAGTTTAGGGGTTTTGGGGTTTGGGGCGAGGGCTTTGGGGTTCAGGGTTTTGGGGTTTAGGGTGTTAGGGCTTTGGGGTTCAGGGTTTTGGGGTTTAGGGTGTTAGGGCTTTGGGGTTCAGGGTTTTGGGGTTTAGGGTGTTAGGGCTTTGGGGTTCAGGGTTTTGGGGTTTAGGGTGTTAGGGCTTTGGGGTTCAGGGTTTTGGGGTTTAGGGTGTTAGGGCTTTGGGGTTCAGGGTTTTGGGGTTTAGGGTGTTAGGGCTTTGGGGTTCAGGGTTTTGGGGTTTAGGGTGTTAGGGCTTTGGGGTTCAGGGTTTTGGGGTTTAGGGTGTTAGGGCTTTGGGGTTCAGGGTTTTGGGGTTTAGGGTTTTAGGGTTTTAGGGCTTAGGGTTTTAAGGCTTTAGACTTCAGGGTTCAAGGGTCTAGGGTTAAAGGGTCTAGGGAGTGCCCACGGAGAGTTTAGGATGTAAGGGCTTGATTAGAAGGGCGTAGGAGCTTAATTGAAGGCAATTAGGGCTTGTAAAGGGCTTACGGGTATCGGGTCGTGGGTTAATTGGGTTTTAGAAGGGTTTAGAGTGTTAATGGGTTTATCAGGTGTAGGGCTTTACGAAAGTCCTTAGTCTGCGGGTTTGGATTGTTGCTGTGGCCTTGTCAGGTTCAGTCACAACTATGAAAGGAAAAATGCGCGCTGATCAACAACAAAGAACAACGAATGGTGAATGGGATGTCGAACTACTGAAAATTCCAAGGTTTTAAGTCCCGAGCGTGAGTTTGCTAAGGGTGGGACTTAGCAAGTCCGGAGTTTTGAGACTCTGCGCAGGGAGCTCTGGACCTTGAAGTAACCAGTTCAAACATGTAGACCTTTAATTTCATAATGGTTCCTGTTAGGAACAGGTCCAACAAACACAGTATTTCACATGGTTCCTTTAAGGAACAGGTTCAGAAGACACAGTATTTCACATGGTTGCTTTCAGGACAAGGTCCAAACACAAACAGTTCAAGTATGGTAACCCAGACAGACCACCGGACGAAGCCGTCTGTTCCACATCCGACGAAATAGTACAGAACAAGACTGCCGGTGGTCGCATTATTACCGGGGTTAAGGGAATCAGGCGTGGGGTATAAACTGTAGGGGGGGATGTTGGGCTTGGGCAGGGACCGAATTGGCACATGGACACTTCTGCAAAGTTTCATGGCAATTCGGAGTCGTGAACCGCGGACCAGATATGGATCCTGCTTCGAAACAATGTCTGATGTCTGATGGAGTCCAACCAAGCAAGGGTTTA